ATGCTTGATGGTGCGATAGTGAACTACGTGGCCCTATCCGGATTCCATATTTATCCTTATACCCCATTCGGCTTTTTGTGATTGGATTCGACCGATCAGTTTATTCCATGTGAGAAGCATCCAGCAAATGTAACCATCTGCGCACCCATGACGCGACTGACTACTTTGTTAGCTTCCTGTAAATCTATCATAACATGTTAAGTACTAAGGAGTTTTTTTATGCATTTACTTTGAGATGTAAACATTTGAACAGTTATACATGGTGAATAAACTTACATTTTCTTCATACATGCTACATGCACGTACAGGAATTTCATTCACATGGGAACCTAAGAAGTTTATTCTTTCAATGGTGTTTCAGTAATCCTAAGTCTTACGCTAGTTTATTGGGTAATCGGCTATTGTTTGATATCTAAATATTACACTTCCCGATCACTTCCTTTAAAAAGGAATTCTTGTTCCCAGTTGTATCTGACTAGAAGTCCCTCGGTTCATACATGCATTTAGTACATGCATATTATGTTATACATGTATGACACATGTTATACATGTACGAATCTTCTATAAGACATTATTTTATGCTCTATTGTTATAATATTGGATAAGGTTACAGATTTCACATAACCTGAAAGTCGTTGATATTTCCATTTTCTCCATTTTGATCTACATGTATATTAACAGCATGTTTCTCGTATTGGTCATTGTCCGTGAATAAATGAACATTTCCTTTAATAAATAATACTAGATGAAATCCCGCGCATGCGCGAGGAATTGAATTTATACCACTACCGACTGAAAATATATTATAGTTTCTACTGACAGCCTACAGACTTATAGCAGGAAGAAATACTTTGTTCAAAATCCCGCATGAAGTAGATACTTGTACGTCTCCACCCCAAATCCCCAACCCCTTTTTTGTAAAAACTTGAAAAATAACAATTTCATTAATTGACGTTTATTGTGGAACCTGTGTTATGGACATTTAACTTCAGAAGCTCTTATTTCATTTCCGTCAAGGATAAAAGCAGCAAGTATGCACATTTTACTGATTAATTGATTTTTTGGGGGAGGGGGGGATTAAAAGGTACTTGGGTCTGTTTGTACCTTATTGATATGTAAAAAAAAAAAGTACTTTACTTACTTTTTTTACATATCAATAAGGTACATACGTATTTATAAACCAAGACCCAAGTACCTGTGTAAAAATGAGCTTTTAACGCCCTATGAATAGGCCGAGTATTTGATACAAAAGACTGTATTCAGAAAAAAAAAATGGAATGTATTGATTAAAGCACAAAATTTTACATCTTTAATTGTATTTGAACAATATCTTATTCATTAATTTTTTTTCTTTTCATGTAAGCAAGTTTATTACGAAGTGCAAATTGTACTTCGGGTTCGTTGCCACGATGCCCTCAGTAAGGAATATAGCCTATACAAATTTTACCGATAAATTTATTAGGACATGTATATATATATATATAATAGTCTTTCGATATATAAATATATTCACAACTAATAGTGTTTTCAACGATTTACCATTATTTCAATGACTTTTCACACAAAAGCTTTTTTTTATGTTATGCAGTAGTAATCGCCTCGTTTATCTTTTTAACATCGGGCTCGATGCTATATGATGTTCTAGAAGCTTCCATCAATATTAAGATCGGTGAATGACGAAAATAATTTGCATGTTTCCCTTTTGAATCGGTTATCACAACTTATTTCTTTTATATCATTTAAATCAAGTTTTGATTGAATAATTCAGTGATGACGTTTCATGAAATAAACGATTGCTTGTTGTCAGTGTCATTAAAAATTGCCAGTAACTTAGATCCGCCAATCGGAAACGCCACCGTACTCATGTTTTTGCTATTTCATGGCTGTTTATAGAAATTGAAAGTAGACTTTTGATTTAATGTACGATACTCACTATGCGAGTGAAATCTAAATATAGTTTACGGACATCATCTTGTATCTAGTTTATTGTTAGAGGGGTAAGTAAAAACTCTGGTGCACCCGTTTCGGAGTTTATTTGCAAAATTTATTAATTTATAAGTATAGATAGTCGTGAAATCTTTGTTTTACCAACATCTCGTTTTGTATATACGCCATCGTCGCATCTTTTCTAAGAATTGGGAGATAGAACAAAACCCGTAGCTTGGGACAGTGGTGTTAGGCATGAAATACTTTGAGTACAATTACAGCTCGACAAAATACACACGTAACCAAGTATAGGCCTGTATGTGAACGGGGAGGGGGGCACAATTAGCAGGGATCGACATTAACGGTTGTCCGATTGCCCGGGACAAGTAAATTCTCAATTCGGGCAAGTGAAATTGTCGACATACTTGTCCGATCGGGCAAGTGAATTTTTTTTCATACAAATGTACATATTTATTTAGTTTACATTAATTTATAAATAAAACAAGAAATTGAACACTTGATTTCCGCCACGCACCTGACTGACAATGCTTTTGCATTCGAAATTCCTTGGTAGCATTTCTGCTGGATTATATACCATTCATTTGAAATTTGAGTTCGTTGTTTTCTCTTTCGTAGGAAATACGCTCTACGTCTAACAAAATTTTGTTAACTTATTAGGAAATTAGATTATTCACGCACAGAATATAAGTACAGTGTAACACGTTGTATCCTGATCAAGGTAAGATGTATGTTTCGTAGCAACTATCTTCCTTAAGCGTTGCTTCACAGTTATCGCTGAAAATCACGAATCACAGAATGATCCTACCGCAAATAATTTTCAAAAATATGATTTTTTTTTAAAGGAAACGGAGGGTTTTTGCCACATGGCAGTGTGTGTTAACAGGTTAAATAATGTACAAATGCAGGATCGAAATTTTTTCAGGTACCTGGTAGCTCAACTTGCCAAAATTTACAGTAGTGTATTTCTTCACATTTGTTCTTTTCAAAACGTTTGCAGTAATTAATAATTTTCGCTTTAAGTTCCATCCTAATTTTGGGCAACCAAGTTTTGCATTCGGACAAGTAAAAGTTTGAGATCACTTGCCCGAAGGGCAAGTGAATCTGAAAGTTAATGTCTATCCCTGATTAGGGTGGGGGTTGGGGCCTGGGGAGAACGTGTCCTACCCCCAATAGTTTTGCAACAGAAAACCAAGCTATTTTACATAATAAAGTCCAATGATATTTCTTCGTTTGCCCCCCCCCCTCCCCTTCCCAAATGAATTTGCCATGGTTATAAGCTAATCAGAGCTCAACAAATACTCTTGCTTAAAGGTGTGCAATGATTTCATTGACACCTACATGTAATATATATATATATGCATTATTTATTTCTTTCGAAAACTTGCGAATTGTTTTGTCGAAAAAATAAGGAAACACAAGCTTTCAATCAGCTTTCATTATTTACCCTTTGGAAACACATTTTTACTTTAAATCTGTTTTTTTCAGAGGTTCATGTTTTCCCCCTGTTTACGATTCGTATTCTTTACTGGAATTATGAGATCGATCACCGTTCGTTATCTTCACTTTTTAGATTTAGATGAAATTTGAAAAATATGCAAATTTTTGATAAATAATGTTTTAATATTTATAAAATAATATATTATGAGAAGATATACATGAAATATTTTTTCGATAAAAATGGAACTCGTTAATATACTTATCTTGTCATTGGTCATTTGAAAAATTATTTTTTTAAAAAAGCATTCTGATTGTAAACACAAGCACTCTAAAGTTGATATTAAAAAGATGCTTGAGTTTCTGTTTCTGTTGACAATATTTATGTAGTTTTTTTAAGGATCAGGTCTTTAAACAATCTGTTGAATTTCCATGGGTACCATTTGCGCCCCCTTGTTAGTAGATACCACAAAGTCTGACACATCTGTCTCATATTTGGATATTTCACAAGAAAAAGACTTTATGGTAACCTAGTGACAAAGCTTTATGAAAAAAGTGATGACTTCAATTTTTCAATCGTCAACTTCCCTTACTTATGTAGCAATATACCCTTATCATCTGCATATGGGGTTTTTGTCTCCCAGTTGAAGACTTTCTCAAGTCTCTATGTTTTACTGCTCTCTTTCAAACTTTTTGATAATGTCAAACATAGACTATGTTTGATAACATTTAATTATGGTAGAGAGCAGAGGACAGCAATACAAAAATGAGCAAAGAATTAAAGAAAAAAAATAGAGACTTAAGCAAATTTGTCCCGATATGCAAGAGCATGCACTACGTATGAACAATTTCTAGAACAAGCACTATTGACAAACAAGTTGATGAAACAAGGATATCAATAGTCTTGATTCAAGTCATCATTTTGCAAGTTTTTTGGTCGATACAATGACCTTTTCAACAAATACAACCTATCATTAAGCCAAATGCTGACTGACGTTTTCCATACTAATTGATAGGCCATTATTTACACACTGAAATTGTCTGCGTATTTTTTCGTTTTTCCCTATCATGACAAGGAGCACACGGCGGGTATGACCGGTCGGAAGGGGATGCTCATTCCTCCATGGTACCTGACCCCACCTCTGATGTTTTTGGAGGTCCGTGTTTGCTCTGCTTCCGATTTGTATTGTCTAAATGGACTTTGAGCTTGAATACTGTTCGTTATCCTCTTATTTCATTCTTAGGAATCACTAAAGCGTTCGAAATTTAAACGAGCAATACTGTAGCTAAGCCAGTGAATTCAAAAAGGGGATAATCAATATCTTTTAAAATCATTAAACGATAAAGCAACTCTTCCCAAAGAGATTGATTTATGACAAATGTACAAAAATTGGAGGGGGTCGCAAACCTTATCCTAATTTAATAATATGTTTTTTTTTCTTTATTTTATTTTATAAAATGCATTTCTTTTCTATTTCAGTGGAATCTTCGGCTTAGTTTCTTTAAATAGAGCCCATTAATGGTGTAATATCTATGTGAAATGAAATAATACTTGGCTATGTTTATCCGGGATTGAAGATGATGAACGAGACGGACCTTTATTTAGTCTTTCCAAGAGAAGATAACTCCTCTGTCCTGTTACTCAACAAGATGGCTACTGAAGGTGTAAATAAGTGAAAGAAACGTGATGGTGAAGATGATTTCTTCTATAACCGATGTCTCTTGGGTCTATTTTAAAGAAATTTTAGGTTATTTTAGTTGATATGAATTTATAATTGCTCTTAATATTGATGTACAATGACTGGATCTCAAGTGAAGAAAGCCGGTGTGACCGATGTGGACGGCGTGACCCCTCCAGTGAAAGGAATATTGCGTCATGTAAAGTGGGAGCATCTGGTTGCCGGAGTAAGCGGCGGGGCGGCGTCTACACTACTTCTCCATCCTCTAGACTTAGTCAAAATAAGATTTCAAGGTATAGATGCAAAGTATATGATCAGATGATTATACACCTGTACACATTTTAGTTGAACCCTTGCCCTGAAGCCGGATAATCTCAAGCCAGATGATATGCGGTCGGACTCACAGGGCTATTTTCACCGTATTTATCGACTTGGGAAAAAATGCAGAATAAAGATCTGTGGCATTTGTGATCAATTCTACATAGATTTGACTATGTTATTTTAGGCTTATTATAAATAAATGGACTGTGCAACCAATATTAAACATGATTTATAAGATGTTGCCTGTAAAAATTTATTTGTGATTGTTTGAGATAAGATCGCTCATTGTTGAAGTGTGTACTTCTTGGGGTGTATCTTTTTTCTAACCATTCCCTTTTTTTCTCCTTTGCCCATCCCATTTTTTTTACTTGGTCAGATCATAGGGACTTGTTGTCCAGATTGTAAAAAGTTAAAAAGAATAAATAAATAAAACATGTAAAAATTTGAATTTAGATTCACTGTACAAGGTGTTTCAATAAAGATTTTTACACTTTCAGTCAAGGGGAAAAAAACCATACCACACCTATAGAGTTTATGAAAATGTAGGTGTGGAATGTTTTTTAAACATGATATTCCTTGACTGAAAGTGTTAAAATCTTTATTGAAACAACTTGCAAAGGGAATTTGAAGTAGATCTTTTTTTTTCTTTTCTTTTAACAATGCAGAAGAAATGAACTCCTATGGATCAGGCAGAAAATTGAAATTAATTATTATTTGTAATATTGATGTAACTATTGTCTTTAGGGACATCTATTCTGATGAGCTTTGATAATTGTGTAGCTTCTCAAAAAAATTTAGAATTGAATTTTCAGCAGCAGCAGTAAACTTGGTAACTGTACAACCTTTCTGTGTTAAAATACATGTATTTGCATCTGTATAATTTTCATTTTTTTTTTTTTTTTTTTTTTTTTTTTACATTTTTTGCAACATATTTAGTAATTTACATAATAAAAAATCTTCTTTAATTCCAAGAGTCAACATAGAGAATATATCTGTTAATTCTCACTCTCCATGATAATTTTTTCTCTCATTTTTTTAGAGGAATCCTCAAACATCTCAACGAGTATCTGAATGTTACTCTTGCACATTAATTGATCATAAAACATAATTTATTTTTAGTGAATGAAGGGACAGCAACGGTAGGACATATAGACAGACCAGAGTACAGGGGTATTGTTGACGCCTTCAGAACGATACGGAAAACCAGTGGTTTTACTGGGCTGTACCAGGGAGTGAAACCCAATGTGCTGGGCTCAGCTTCATCCTGGGGATTTTACTTCATGTTGTAAGATATTTATCTAAGTACTGCCATCTTTGAGACAACAAAGATTTATTTTGCTATTGTGTGTGCTTTACTTCTCATTAACAAAGTATCTTTATCATTAAGTAAGACCTTCCATACTATTAAGTCCTTTTTTATATTATATGCCTGACAGTATTGAATTATTGAAAAAAATATGTACATGTATATATTTCATTATATTGTATGTACTCTAGTTATAACAGTATTAAGACCTTTATGCAAGACGGAGACACAAAAGTAGATTTAGGAGCTGGAAAACACACTTTAGCAGCTTCAGGGGCAGGTGAGATCTCACATCATTAAACCTCTTTTTTTTCTGCACCAGTCCCAAGAGTCAAGTTAATTGTGAACAAAGAATCTGTCCATCAATGTTTTTATGTCCTTTTGTATTTATATAAGGCTTGTTTGAAGTTAACGTTTTAAAGATTTTCTGTAGTAAAAAGCTTTTGGAATATAGAAATTAGATATACAAAAAGCATCAAATTCCTAAGCATTAATTAATCATATACACTGTAACTGAACTCTTCTAACTTTCTTTATAACATCTGAATGGTTCCAAACAGCAATTGCTGTGAAAGTGAACTTATGAAATGCCAGTGAGAGTTTTGCCCCTTGCTTTTAATTCATGCATTTGAGTAGAAATTGTAACATTTATGCCACAGAGGTCCATTTAAAACTATAAAAGGTAATGAGTGTCACCTAAAGTTTTTTTTCAATTGATGTATCTAGTATGTTTGACTGAATTTCATTTCCCATAGAGATACAGTTTTGCAGCTACATATGTAACAGTGGCAGGAGAACTGTAGCATTATGATTTTATGTTTCGGTCTTTGACCATAACACTGCAGATCCCGTAATGCAAATATGGTGTAATTTATAGTGCAAGATTTTCTGCGCACAGTTGGGGATAATTTCTTCACTTTCCAGCATTGGTCAATCAACCACCTTTCACTCCCTAATTCTAGACATATTCTTTAACCAACCTGTATATTTTATCCACCTACTAACCCTTTATAGTTGTTCTACAGACCAATAAACTCTCTTGTTTTGAATTTTTTGCATTCTACAAAAAATTCTTAAAATTCTTAAATCCTTAAATTTTTTAGATCAGAGTTTCAATATGGCACTTTTGACTTCTTGTTGGAGAAATGTACGATTTGATTCTTTTTTATTTGGTGACATTTTAGGAACCAAACTGAATCAGTATTTTCTTTCCTGTCCTTAAAAATGTAAATTCAGTAATTATAATATTGATATATTTTAATATAATATTTTCTCTGGCTTCCCTCTTTATGTACATATTGTTTTCATCTTGGAAATAAATCTTTTTGCCAAGAACAAGTAGTTCAGAAAAGACAAAACAATTACCCTAGTTAGCATGTTGATATGCATGTACAACAATATATATTAATGTAGAAACAAATTTGTTTAAAGCATAGCAGGGACTAAGTTGGACCACAATTAAGGAACAAAGATTTGTACAGAAATACATGTATATAAAACAAGATGTAAAGTTGACTTCTTCATGTCTAGATCAATAAACTACTTAAATTTTTAGAAAGAGTATGGTAGCTATTAAAGCCATTTAAAGGTGACCATTGTGCCAAAATGGACCTTTTCTTTGTTTATTTGGTTTAGATGAGAATTTTTGAAATATTAAATATACATATTCTTTTGAATCAAATCAAGCTGCTCAATATGTTTTTTTTTTATTTTTTGAATAATAGTTATAGAACTTACAATATTTCATGCAAATAAAAGACCAATAAATCTGCAAAAACTACTTAAGTATACAGTGTGTACATGTGTTACAGGGTTACTGACTTTGGTGCTGACGAACCCTCTCTGGGTTGTGAAAACAAGGTTGTGTCTTCAGTATGAAACCAATATTACCTCCATAAAGCCAGAAAAGTATTACTCAGGAATGATTGATGCCCTCTACAAAATATACAAATATGAAGGTGTTCTTGGACTTTATAAGGTATGAAAGTCTCTTTAAGTACTTTAAAAATTTCAATGTTGAAATAAAATGGGTGAGGGCCAATAGAAAACTTTAATTTGAATTCATGATTTGTACAAAATGAACAAGGTGAAAGTTTGTGGATGCTGTTGTTTAATGTGCTTATGTGGACTTGTAGTGTCCAGTACAAAAAAAAAAATAATAATATACAGTCACAAAGTAAAGATTTTAAATCTGCTCAAACCAAGATAAGGTTAGCCGTCTTTTAGCAGCTTAAAAAACAATTTAGTAATAATTCACAGTCTTTAACATTTCTAGAAAATTATGAAAACTTGTTTTTCTTTTTTTTTTTTTTTTAGCCAAATGAAGAAATTCTTAAGAGAGAAAAATATTTACTATTTGGAGTAGTTTTATAATGCTGCTACAGTGTTAGTCATATAAATGATAATGTCTCCATTTGTTTTTAGGGTTTTATACCAGGAATGTTTGGAATTTCTCATGGAGCTATTCAATTTGTGTGTTATGAAGAGATGAAAACCAAATACAACAATTTCAAACAGAGACCAATAGATTACAGACTAGTAAGGAATTTCAGTTTTACATGTAGATTTTTTATTAATGTATGATTAAAGCAGAAGGGATACAGTTCTGCTAAGATTTATTTTTGTATCGCCCCAGCAGAGCAACACAGACTTTTTTTTGGACAAAACATTGATATAAGATTTCTTTGAAGAACTTTTTTACATGTATGGAGTTGTCAAATAAAAAAAAAGAGAGATGATAAATAACATGATTGTATTGTTTGTGGAGTTGATTTTGATTAACCAGTAAACCTTGATTCACTAGAGCCAGAATTTTCCATAAGTTAATACATGAAATACATTTATGTTTGAGTAAAGGCAAATCAAAATGTATAACACAACTGATTAAAGTAATCAAATGTTTTTCTGTAGAACTCAGCTGAGTACATAGCCTTCGCTGCCCTCTCCAAGATAATAGCCGCGACTGTGACGTATCCATACCAGGTGGTCCGATCTCGTCTACAGGACCAACATCGCAGTTACACTGGTATCAGTGATGTCATTAGGCAAATTTACAGGTAAATTGCTCCATTTATCAATATGCTATTTCTTTAAAACAATTTTCTACTGAATACAGGAATTTTATATTCAACAAAATTATTAAACATATAGTTGTCCAAAGTGATAAAAATTGACACAGATGAGAAATGCTTTTGGAGAAAATCTTATAAAGGGATTTTACTGATTATCGAATCACTTCCCTTTTTTTTTTTTTTTTTAAAAATTTGGAAAGTGGTACAATACTTTGAATTGTAAACAATCCTATAAAATGTAAGAGAATTAAGTTTCAATTTTTTTTCTATTTATTTTTCATTGTAATTTTTCTGAAGAGTGAAAAGCATTCTTCCATTAGTTCTTATACCTGAGAATGAGGAACTAAACAAGCTTAATGTTGTACACATTTTTTAATCATATTAATATTTTTTTCTGCTTTTTAATGAGCATTTATTGACTTACTTGTGTTTGCTTTGCCTTTGCGAATGACATTTAATCCTTCTCTAGGTTTGAAGGAATGCGAGGATATTTTAAAGGAATGATGGTGTATTTGTTTCATGTGACTCCCAATATCTGCATTGTGTTTCTTGTGTGGGAACAAGTGATCAGTTATAATAATAGAACATGACTCAAAGGAATATAAATCACTGTGACGTTCCAATGGAAAAATATTCAAGGAGTCCCAGATGCCTGGAGTTAATTCAGTCTGAAAATTACACAAATGGAGATTCTTAAAAAAGATACTGTTGTTGAAGAGAGGAAAATGTAGTGTTGTATTTTTGTGTGCAAAAACGTTTAAGAATTCTCAGGGACTAGTATAGATAGATCATATGCTAGCTGTATATTGCCACAAAAATTCCACTTTTACAAGTTTTATTTACAGTACTTGGTACTAATTTTAGTTTTAAAATTTAGTTGTGTGTTCAGAAGAGATTGAAAGGGTTCATCAATCACGATCTTTTGATCAGCGATAATACCCATATATTTTGTTCTAAACAAAACAGAAGCATAGCTTTCAGAAATCAATGTTTTTGTGAATCTCTTTAAATTTTTTTATTTGAAAATTTTTATTTATTGAATTGTATTTTATTGTGGATGTATTCTTTAAGATACGTAACAGTGAATCCTATTCAAACTGTATTTTACCTAATATTAGTTTTAACAAACTACTTAAAAGAAAATCTGAATCCAGTTTAGTGGTAAACATAATTTTAAAAAGCCACTATCAAAATGAATGTATTACTTCTTACACTACATTATATAATTAATCCTATGAAAGCATACAATGCTTAAAGGTATACATACACATGTACTACCCTTTTAAAATGTTTTTTCAATCTTTGAAGAAAAAAAAATATATAGGCTATATTTTTTAATGAATATTCACGAATGGGGAGTACTGCACAAGTCGATTTCTGGCCAAAATGACCACCCCTTCCATCTATATTATTCTAATTTTCTACTCGCACAGAAAGCAAATTGGCTTTTTAAGCTCTATGCCAGTTATTGTATATTGAAAAAGTTGCTTCATAATACTACACACAGTGGTGATACTCTAAATTGTGCATTTATTTGTAACAAAAAAAAAGAAAATACAACAGGATTTTATGTGATGCTGTTAAATACATGTACAATTGTGTAATTTTCCACCAAATTTTAACATTTAACTTCCTTTTTAAGGATAAAATTGCAGCATGTATGCATTTACCACTTCATCTATCTTACTGACAATGTTATCTCTTAAGAAATGTATTTCTCAGACTTTTTCTGGTTTAAAATTAATTTAAGGGCAGTAGATACACCTATTATACTGACGTAAGCACTGTCTTTCATTTGAGGCCAAAGAGATTTTGACACTATTTGCATTTTATAGGTGTATTTGGATGTCTTATTTTTGTGATAAGAGTTGTCCCTCCTGTGATCACAAATGCATGTAAATCCAGCTGATGCCCTTCTAAACACATTAGTATAATCGCTAGGGTTTCAGAAAAACTATAATTTAAATTTTAAAAAATGCCTTTGACAAATGTATTTTAATTTCAAAGATTTATTGTGCCTTAATTCAAATTTGGCCGGCCATGCATAAATATCAACTCCTTAAACCCATCAAAAAATATATATTTGCAAAAAATGTTCATTGTAGTACTTTTATGACAATCATTCTAGGTTTTTAAATTCATGACAGAAACCTGCATACTAATAAGAAGTTGTTGTAAAACTGATTGATGATTTTTGATGGCCACTAATACAAATATTTTACCTTGTTTACTTCTCATGATCTTAATCTGCATCTTGTAATTTGATGAGTGATGTATGATGCCTACTCCATCTGTTAATTCACAGAATTTCTTTATGATTTTTTTTAGAATGAATTCAAGTTATTTTATGGCTTAGAAATATTATTTATACTAAACAGTATTCAATGGTTTCAAAGCATTTTTGCTTGCACAACAGATGTGTAGTTAAGTTTCTCTGATTTTCAAATGTGCCTTTGATTAATATTATTTAAATGAATATTCTGAATTATTTTTACAATAACCATATGTCTTGTGAAGATAAATATTGTTACTGAGTTGTGAGCTGTTCAAAAATTAAAAAGAAATAAAAAGTTTTATGTATACTCTTAGCTATCTGATAGGATTGCCTTAATTTTAAACATGTGGTTAATTGATATTTTCAGGTATGAAGGATTGTGGGCTTTTTACAAAGGACTTACCCCTAACCTGTTACGAGTCACGCCTGCCTGTTGTATCACATTTGTAGTGTATGAAAATATCATTTCACTGAGTTTTCACAGAAATTAAAATTCTCAAACAAGTAAATGTTTTTTGTGTGATGTGAGAAAGAATGGAAGAATTGTTGCCACAAACGTGCGACTTTTATACTCAGTTAACATCATGATGATCGCAGGGTCTGTGTGGCGTGTACATATAAGTGTTCATTCAAAGCTATGTCTCTTTTACGAGTGTGGCAGATCTCATAATATTTGTCTTGTAGACACTTGTACTTTGTGTTTAAAGCCATTTTATGTGATACTGATATTTTTAAAGGTTACAGAGCTAACCTTGATGTTGAAAACAATTGATTAAAAATGAGTTTTAAACAACATTTTTATTGTCTTCTTTGCACCTTATTGATTCTTTGTTCAGTTTGTACTTGAGCTCCAGGCAGTCATGTTGTAACATTCTTTTAAAAGTACACAGGTATTCTTTGTCCTCGTTATATAAAGTATAAGATGTCCTCATTTATAACATAAATTTTTCAATATTTTAAGATAAACAGAAAAATTGTAACCGGTAAATTCATTTGACCACTTCATGTTGTATTCACAGCGAATATCCGTTGTACCAAGTCCATGTTGATTTCATTTTAAGCCTAGATGAATGTTTATGGTGCTGCTATTATTAGTTAATTGAAGGAAAAAAAAAAGACATGATGAAGAATCAATATATTTACACAAGATAATATTTCCAACAAGCATCAATGTTATTAATGTCAGACAGAGAGATAATCAATAAGCAAAGCCCAGATTACTGAAATTAAATGTTCAGAGAACGCCATATGATCATTTCTGTACCATTATATGAAAATTACAACGTATTTCTGTTCATCAAGTCAAGAAATGAATCACCTGGGCATCATATTGGATTTAAATATTTTATTAAGTCCATCTGTTATGCAGTACAAATTTCATATTACAAATGTATATTGTTGCTGTCAAAGTTTTCTGGTGCCTCCTCAAATTGTAACAAGGTAAAATCAACCAAGTTCCACAAAAAATAAGCAAAGACTTTACTGATATTCAAAAATGCCAAGTTTTGTTATCCATGCCATTAACACTTTAGACAAAGCTGGATACATCTGAAGGGTTAACCTAAGTGTTAATAAAAATCAAAATGATAAAGGCACTATGATAATAAGGTTGTCCTGTCAACATATTAACAAAAGTCACAAATACTCTCTCTACATGGAAATTAGGTACTACATTGATTCTGTCCATATCTTCACAAATTCTGAAAAAAAGAATAATCCTTAATTAAATTAAGGTAGAGTCTACGCTAATTGGGAATGCAGGCATATAAACTGTGTACCTTTCAGCATTTGTAGTCTTATTTTAATGGGATTTCGCTTATCATTTAAATAAATGTACCTATGGGTGCTTTTTGTTTCAAAAGTTTGGTTGAATGAAATTACATGTACATATATATATAGCTCGATAGAGATGGAAATGATAAAACAAAATGCATATGATGAACAGTAAGAAAACCTCGAGACTTTGACTTCAGTAAGGGATTTTCTTTCCCTTTGGGGGGGGGGGGGGTGTCAATTTTTGATCCTGGCTAAAAGGAAGTTTAGGATACCGACTTGTGAATTTAGTTTAAAATATTGACGGATTGAAGGAGCTTCTACGTCTCTCAAGAACTCCTCAACCTCTCAGATTACGACATAACCATCTTTCACTTTATCCAGACCGCTCACCTTCATAGTTTATCTTCCCATCTCCGTCTACGTCTGCTTCCCTCATCATGTCCTGCAGCTCCTTGTCTGTCAGCTTCTCGCCCAGATTTTGCATAGCGAATTTCAATTCTTTTGCGTCTATTACGCCGTTGCCATCTCTGTCGAAGATTTTAAATGCTGCACGAATACTGGACTCTTGGTCTGATCCTGCCTGGTTTTTCTCAAGTTCCTTTTTCATGAAAGCGGAAAATTCTGCAAATTCTATCCTTCCATTGCCTGCTCGGAATTATATTAATGAAAAAAATGACAAGATGATTAATTTATTTTATTTATTACTTGAAGTTTAATTTGTTAAAAATGCTTTGATTCATTTTATTGCATATTGAATATAGAAATATTTTTTTTAATTGTTGATTTTCTGTTACGTATGAGCTCCAAATAGTACACAGATTTAATTATGAATGATAGGCCTATCGTTTTTTAATACCGTTTTTATCCAGCACTTTCATTGCTTCCTTTACGTCTGCTTTTGTGACGTTTAATCCTAGAAACCTCATGGCTTTTCCAAGCTCCTCACTCGATATGTACTTATCATTATTCTTATCGAATGTCTTAAAGAGGCTCCGTATTTCTGTTACAAGGAAGAAAAAGAAATATATATGTTGTTATTTCACAGTATATTATTCTGATTGACACCAAAACTCTTGTTGACGATTATCGTCTCTCTGTATTGCATTTTAATCATTTATTTAAGCGCAGAACAGAGCAAAGCTAAATTTAAGTTGTTTTTTTGTTTGTTTGTTTGTTTTTTTGTTTTTTGTTGTTTTTTTGTTGTTTTTTTTTTTAATCAAATCAAGATCTTTGGCAATTTATGAGTAGTGTAAATCATTGCATCTTTAGCAATGTTTAACAATATTTTCAGAGCATCGAACTTAGATGAATTAAATAAATACCATCTATGTATTTCAAAATGTACTTTTCTGTAATTCTATGCTTTAAGGTGTATCGCCACTATCATGCAAGTCTTGCAAATAAAATGTATAATTCCAATGTTAATAGACAGTTTTGTGGCCCTTGTTCACGTCGTCGCCTTATGGGCGAGATACGGAGGAGGCGAGTTGTCCCAAAAAGAAACCCTACACATATAAGTACTCATGACACAATTGTTGGATTTGCCTGATTATGCCAGATTTGTTAAATAGACACGGAACTTGTATGTTTAAAAATGAACTTAACATATATCGCCTCTCATGCGAATGAGAAATAATTAATATTTACACTATACATTGTTTATTTACTCTCAAAGATTAAAAAAAAAATAATAGTAAAGATTCTTTCTTGTCTAAACCTGCTGGTCAAGCAAAAAGTTCAAAGGACTAAACCCCTTAATATCATTGACACAACGGATAGTCAAACAATTTACTGGCTTAAAAGAGAAAGTAATCCCACCTATCTCAGCAAGCTCACATAACGAACGTACATGTAGTTTTTTTTTGTTTTTTTGTTTTTTAAATCTTCGTATATACAGTATTTGTCGTAAGAAATATTTTTTCTATAGTTATTTGCAGATTTAGGACTTAAAATTAAAATTAAAAAAAAAAGAAGTTCCAGCCTCAGATTTTTACTATAATTTTTTCTTTGAATTTTATCAAGGTTAACCTTACTTTTAAATCTATTTACACTGAACTACCGTAACATATTTTTCGGTTGTGTAAATGTACGATTCCAGTCCAACCTTGATTTTAAATGCACTTATTATAAAATTAAACACTAGTGTGGGTGGGTGGGTGGTGGGAAGGGGGTAAATTAATGTATTTGGACATCAGTAATGCTTAACCCCCCTCCCCCAAATAGAATATAAAGGCAAATGTCGACTTTTGTTATGGGAACAGCTCACCAGGTGTTTGTTTTATAAGCTTACTAGAGTTAGTATTAGTGTTATAATACTTCATTGTGGTACGGTGTAAAATCTTTAAATCCTATTTAACCGATTAATTGACTTGTCAAATTCTTACTGATTATTGTGTAAGTTATAATAACTTGCTTCGTCACTTTCATTCGATCGGCACTATTGTATTGTTGTCAAAAACAACTTCTTAAGACGACATCTAATCACGATTCTTTGATGTATACATTTAATTTCAAAGAATTCCAATTAAATCGATGAATTTTTCAGAAAAATATTAAAATTTCGATAAAGAAATGTGATATTTCTAGTACATGTTCTTGGCTAATTTTGACTTTTGATGTTTATGTGGGTTTACATATACATAAAGAGGATTGTTTTTTTCCGGGAAACAAAGCTGAATAAAAGGAACTCGTCTCCGAAAAAAAAAAAACATGTATAAACTGATAGCATAACTATTTACATTAAAATTCAGTGATGACTTCCGATTTGCGGGAGGTGAGAGAAATTGTTCTTGAGAGAACCAATACCTATTTTTATTTGGTATGAATCTGAAAACCCCTGTGTTGACTTTCATTTTTCTCAAATAAACATACTTTAATTAAATGTATACAAATGAGGATCATTTTCAGTCAATTTATCACCAAGGGGAATTTAAAGAAAACTACACTTTAGAATTTATGCGCTATAAGGGAATGTGACCTGGCTTAAGTTAATATTGTCACTTCTCTTATTCCCTAATTAACAATGTTTTAAATTTATAATGAGTACCTATTGGCTATTGAACACTGTTAATTAGTGATAACCAATGATCAATACTTACATAATTTAGGTTTTAAATGAGGTTTTAATCTGTATATAAGTTTGCTATGTGGGAGAAAAGAGAACGGTTTTGCACACTTTTTTTTTCAATACCTGAAATTCAAATGTGTGCAAAACAGGAACAAACCAGAAGAGAACTTACCTGCCTCTAAGTTTCTGTCTACCTTTTTCTACAAAATAAGATAAAAACAACAAATTTAAAGTCATACATGCAAAAAGTAAAAAAAAAAAAAGAAGTAAATGAAAAAAAAAAACAAACAAAAAACGTCATTTGTTATCAAAGAATTGATGTTTTATAGAATTGTTCTATAATATACATATATGTAACTGATTCTTCGAACCATCATAATATATATTGATATCATAAACGTTTTCATCATTTCTCCCTTTAATGGAGGCACAGTTTGTGAAGGAATTAATGACTTAATCCATGTTTATCATTTAAGTTTCATGTCCCTTGTGTCGACTTTAAAACTGAAGTTTTTTTTAATTTGCTTATCTTATCTTGTGACATGTATGTTGAAAATCAATGTATATAAAATTTTGCAAACTTGAGTGTTTACTACCCCGGCGCTTTATACCTATTAAAATTCTGTGCAAATATTTAACCCACAATTTAAAGTAAATTATGGCGAAAGCTATCCGTGTATAGATCGAGAAACACTCGCTTCATCTTATATGTGTTGTGGTATTTGTTATTTGAAATCCGTAAAATGAAATTTGATTTTAATACAAGCTTGAAAGATCGTCTCCGAGAAAAACAAATAATTTAATGGTTAACCTGTTCATCGAAACCAAATTTTGCAAGTGAATACACTGATAGGGGTAGTTAGATTTGCCACAATCGCCTGTTGGTCTTTGTATTTTCTTTTACATTTTCAGTAGACAAGATCGATTCGATTCCTTCACATCTTTTATATTAACAAATTCAAAACAGTAATCAAATTTGTGGCTAAATTCAGGACAAATAATCATTACCTTAGATGACATAATTCAATAAATCCAATAATCACACTTTTCAAATTTACAGTCACATTCAGTAAAGCCAAATTGCCTGCTGCAACAATTTTGGGACAAGCAGACTACAGTGCATTTACATTTTCCGCAGACGACGAGGAGATAGTGCAAACTAATGTTGGTTTCTAACGCCAACTACAACTTGGACAATGGTCGACCTGAGTCTGATTTTAAAGGGACAAAATGACAGTTCTGTTCACAAAGCCCAATGAGGTGGAAGGACTGTTTTCTCTTTCCCTAGATCGATCTGCGTCGATCAACACAAAAGATTTAATGGATCTCAGATTGAAAGTATTCTTATCGTATATGTAAAATTAAGCCATTATGTTTTGCTGAAGTGGTGTTTTATATTTAATCATGAAATCATGATCGTATGGCATGTTTGTTACATGTTGTTATAGCTGATCGAAATCAATGAAACATTCTGCAATTCAATGAACCCCAATAGTGGGAAATATATAATAAATGAACATATATACCTGTAACTGATCAATAAATTAAAATTTGAAAGACGAATTTTCAATTGGAATGAAAAAGGTATTGTGGCAGTAAGAATGGCTGAGTTTAAACAGGAATTAATTCGAATCTGATACAAGTACAGGAACATATTATCTTTTGACTATACTGAAGTCAGCTACCCAGAGTATAATAAACCTAAGTAATAACACACATTAAAATCTATGTTGGGGTCAGAAAGCAATAAATCTGACCTGCAAAATGTAGATTCTTTCTGGGGTTACAGGGAGTGTAAAACCACTAAGCCTTACATGTATCCTGAAACATTCCGATATATATAGTCCTCATGTTTGTTTGAAAGATATATTTTTAAAGACTTACTTTAAATACAAGTACCGTGGTGTTATCAAGCTTTAATCGGTGATTTTCCTGTTAAATCTGTTACATCTTAATTTTAAGAAATACCTGTCATAGATCGCTATTAAACTAATTACTAAAGTTGATTACTATTTCTATCTATGTTATTTATATTAGCCTTAACTGATGGTCATAATTTCAAACTATAATGAGATAAAAGTAGACATGGAGCACAGACAATTAAAAGAAAACCATGTGTTTGCTACCAGAAGTTTAGGTTGTTACATGTGTAACTTATCAAAATAGGCCTAGCATTTCTCAAGTATTCTTTTTAAAAAAAAAAAAGATATGCTGTATATGTTGAATCTTCCAGCAAACTGTTGGAATTTCGAGGGGCAATAATTGTGCTTCTTTATTAGCTGACCTGTTTTATTCATTTGGAGCAGAATTTATTCAAAAACTTCTATACGAGAAGAAGAAAACACTTCATGTTTTCTTCAACTCGACATTCAGATATACTGACGACAAAATAAAAGACATCACAAAGTCTGCCACATTTGTTTCGTATTTGGATGATATACTGACTATAGACGATAATGGACAACTAACAACTAAGTTACCTGAAAAACGAGATGACCTCAGCTTTTCCTTATTTTATTATTATTATTATTATTATTCTTTTAATTATCATTAACTTTCATTTTATCTATCTATATGTATGTGATAATATTCCGCTATCACCTGTATATGGCGTCAGTTACGTCTCCCAACTTCGATACTCAATTCGATACTCTAGAGTATGTTCTGAGTACAATTAATATTTAAACAAAGACAGGATACTGACAGATAAGTTGAAGTTACAGAGATTTTAACATTTTTTTAAGTCAGGATTTCGTAAAGTCTATGGTCGTTATAATGACCTTGTTAGCAAATATAGCCTATCATTCGGTCGTATTTTGGCTGACGTTTTTCATACCAGTTGTAAAGCCTTTGTTTTTATACTAAATTTGACTATGGAATATGCCATGTACCTGATACAATACTTAAGGTTCACGGCGGGTGTGACCTGTCAACAGGGATGCATACTTCTCCTATGCTTCTCCTATGCACCTGATCCGGGTCTGTGTTTTTTTTTAAATTTATCAATTTATTTATCTATTTTAGATCGATTTCTGTTCTTTATCTTCACTTTTCTCGTAAAGTCATCTTTGGATCTTTTTGTAATAATTTAAAGCCTAATTCAATGATTATAAACACTCTCCTTTTTTACTTTTTGCAAATTATAAATATTGTAAGAGTAATAACATCTAGAATATTTATCATAGCAAACAACGCAATCCACATAAATGATTTTCAAGGTTACAATACGTTGGAACCCCAGCGAAGAGTTTTACAGGAGTTTATAATAATGCTCAAGTTCACATGAATTTTACTTTCGACACATGCATTTTGCATGTAGGAATACAGTATATAAAATAATAAATATAATCAACTCTTATTCCAAGTCTTACTTTTCTCTTTATGCATATTTCCTTTAAACTGTGGTTGATAATTTGATGATATTCGAGAACATCAAATAAAAATCAAAGGATATAGATAAATCAAGTAGTACAACTACGTTTTTGAAAAAAAAAATCTTGATCGATTGATTATTTATATGATTGATTCAGAAACTGTCAGAAAACACGTCATCACTACAAATAACTCAACATAACTGATATGCTAACTGGGATTTTTTTAAATGTACATGTATGTTCCTGTTTGTTATATTCATGACTATTTGCCAATGTATGGTGGTGTTGTCAATAAATTGAAATTGAATTCATAATACTGTACAGTTTAGTTTCTGATTCTTGGGAAAAATCACATCCATGGGTACTGTCAACATTAAGATTATTGTTGTGAGCTGCAGATCTAGAGAAGAGAAGAGGAGAGGGGTTGGGCTCTAATTGAATGAAAAACTTGTATTCATGCAAATAAATATTAGAGAGAGACAAAATGATCAAGACAGTGAATTTAAACATTTGTGTTTACAAACTATGGACATCATTAAATTAACATATTTTTCTGTATAATACGTATACATGTATTAAGCAAATAAAGAATAATAATAATATTGACCAGTATTAAGATTCTGTAAGTCAATATACGGTTATATTGTACGTGCGTACATTGACCCTGGTGCATTCATGGGACAAAAAGGGATTTTACCAAGGAATGAATCTCTAAACATCAGTTAATTCTGTAATTCAATATTTATATATCAAAGTGAAGATAGTTTATCTTAGATATTAGTTATATACATGATCTTCCAAACTAGAAATGTATCTGTCGACTCTTCAATGCTTTTAAGTTAAAGTTTCAAATGTAAAAAAAAAAAGGGGGGGGGGGCGTTAACAGAACAAAATTTCGATTTACGTGTACTAACAATTCCAGGACCTGTCTGCATCTAAATTACAGCTACAATTACTTCATTTTAAATTTAATAGCATTTCTAATTTTCCATTCATGCATTGGAATCACAACGCAATTTCTCAACCATTTCTCAGTTTTAATTAGACTTTTGCATTGATCTTATCAATACTCATTACTTACATGATTATAATTAACCGACTAGTGTAAATGAAGAGAATTTCTTTCTTTTTCAAATTTTATCCTTGACCATTCAAAATAAGGATGGATGCTTGTCAGATTTCTAATTAATCAAATTATATTGTATTCGAAGTGTATGGCATGTCAAACGTTGCAATATTCGATCTTTTCCATTTGTATTGTATAACTTTCCATTTGTATTGTATAATTTTTATTTGTATTGTATAATCTTTCATTTGTATTGTATAATTTTCAATTTGTATTGTATAATTTTTATTTGTATTCTATAATTTTCCATTTGGATTTTATAATTTTCCATTTGGATTGTATAATGTTTATTTGTATTCTATATTTTCCATTTGTGTTGTAAAAAAAATCATTTGTATTGTATAATTTTTCATTTGTATTCTATATTTTCCATTTGCATTGTATAATTTCTTATTTGTATTGTATAATTTCTTATTTGTATGCGATAATTTTTCATTTGTATTGTATCCGAGGATTGTTTATTTATTTCGTTACGAAGGATGTCATTGGTCATAAAATTTAGTCTGTATAAAGGTCTCAGGTGCCCTTCACAAACTTAGTCTGGTACCCTTCCCACAATTCCGATCGCGCACTCTCTACAAACACAAACTCGGCTCCTCTATTTGCGGTGCATGCTAAGGGACGACCATTTGATTCTCGGGGGATGTCGAATCCGATTATTTATTTTCATTCTCTCGCAGGAGAGAATATTTATTTCCAATATGACCAGAGACAAGGAGAAAAACAAAAAGAAGAAAATCCGCCCAAACCCGAAAACTCAGTTTTTTGGGGGTGGGGGTAGTTACCACCACTCAAGGTCAATTTATTTATTTTCTCAGTCAGCATTCCTAAGGACAGATTATTTATTTGCCATCTACCAGCGCTCCCTTTTTAGAATCCAATGACCGTCTAACATGCACGCAAATACATATGCCGCCGAAATATGGCTGAAATATTGCCGACTCGGCGTTAAACAATAATCAATCAATCAATCAAGCAAATACATATGAGTCCAGTTTGCTTTGAGCATCCGGAACATCTTCAACCCGATACAGGCTGAAACTTGACCAATGAAATCCATCGTAACGAAACAAATAAACAGTCCGCGGATACAATACAAATGAAAAATTATCGCATACAAATAAGAAATTTTACAATACAAATAAGAAATTATACAATGCAAATGGAAAATTATACAATACAAATAAAAATTATACAATACAAATGAAAATTATACAATACAAATAGAAAATTATAGAATACAAATAAAAATTATACAATACAAATGAAAAATATACAATACAAATAAAAAATTATACAATACAAATAAAAATTATACAATGCAAATGGAAAATTATACAATGCAAATGCAAAAGATCGAATATTGCAACGTTTGACATGCCATACGAAGTGAACTGGATAAAAATACATTAAATATATTTGAGATGTTAGGAATTTAACTAGGGTGTCCCGATAGGGCCATTTGCAAAAGTGTCACAGCGCGTTCTTCACAACGCAATGGCGCGTTGTCACTTGCAACAATGCGTTAGTGACAACGCGCCGACGCGAAGTGACAACGCGCTAGCGTAAAAGTGAAAACGCTCCAGCATGTTGCTTACAATACACCGTGGCGCTAAAACACAACACGCCGTCACGCTAACTCAACTTTACACAACATGTCGTCACGCTAACACACAACACACCGTCACATTAACGCAACTTAACACAATGTATTGTGTGTTAGCGCAACGGCGTGTTGTGTAAAGCTGCGTAAACGTGGCGGCGTACGTGTTGTGTGTTAGGATGACGGCGTGTCG